TAACTTTTTTGCATCGGCTGTTCAAAAACTCTTGTGTGTAAAGTTTTCTATGTAAAGTTCTCTTTTTACTATGAAACATATGACATTTTTAATTTTTGAAGGGGTGACAGTTTTGGAATTGGAAGATTGGCAAATATCTATATGTGCAACATTGAGTTGTCCCCCCTAGATATTAACACAGATAATTTCCAAATTTGTACTAGCCAAAACTTCACTATATCAAGCGCTGACTGTAGTTATCTTACAAATACCAGTAGCAACTAGTATTGGACAGTTAAGAACTGGAACATCGCCATTGTGAACATTAAAGCAAATGACCAATAATGCAACAAGAATGCTATGCTCTGTATTAGACATATCGATTATAAACACATTTCCATCATCATATCATTGATACTTGTATCCATGACAAGGTACTTGAAGTTTTAAAAACTTATTATATGTTTCATTGATACATTTGATCCAATCTGCAAAGGCAAATTGCAATTCTTATGAGTCAAAAATTGGATGCATCTTGAAATCACTTGTGTGATGTCTACCTACTTGGTCTCATTTATTGATTCCTTTGGGAAACAAAGATGACAGACTTAATTAAACTAATTTTCTCAAACTTTTCAGAATCTGCTGCCTATTGGCGAGACATCTGAGCAAAAGAAAAATATAGACTTCTGAGTTTTACGAATGACTCTTGATATAAAAAAGTCACTAGGTTCAGCCTATCCACCTGTTTCCACCTGAATGAACTGTTCCATCCTCACTTGAATGAGTGTCACTTCTCGAAAAAGGTTGGGACATTTGAGAGAAGATGAAAAAGAATAAATATAGATTGTTGACTTTACTAATGAATCTTGATATAAAAAATGCAGAGTCCAGTAAGATATCAAGACATTTTTTGATGCATTTCTTATATCAAGAATCTTTTTATATCAAAACTGACTTAAATTGTAACTAAAACATCTAAATTATTATTATCACTGGATATAGCAAAGAAAATAGCTTATACAGTCAAACCTCCATAAATGCACCCTCCATAAATGCACACCCTCCACAAATGCATGCTATGTCTTGGTCCCAACCTCAGGACTTAGGGATAAATGCACACCCTCCATACTCTACACTGCACAGTATTTTTCAGTCCACTCATATGAAAACTCTCCATAAATTCACCCACGTGACTGATATCATGTAACTAGTATAAATTTAGAAATAATCAGCAAAATTTTTTGATTGATTGGATAATTCCAATCAGTGTTCGAAATGCGGAATCTGAGTACGCTAACCAAATATGGAAATTAACTGCAGATAATTTCTAAAATTAGATTAGCTTTATGTTGGAGCGCAGTCAAATTTCCAATATGTAATAATCCAATTGAATTTCACGACTTTGTATCACTAAATGAACTTTCGTCCTATTTGATAAAATGCAAGTTGATGAAATTTTGAATATCTCTAAAGAGAATATTGTCTGACTGTAATACTAATTCTTTTGTGCGAAATTAGCCAATCAAACATGGGAGTGGTGTTTAGGTGAACAATTCCTTTAATTGGCTATATTTTCACATCATCACAACATCATCATTATCTTTTAGACATCAAATGTCAGATAACAGTTCAAGCTCTGGCTCTATAATAAAATTTTTCATTTGACTCATAGTGGGCTTCAATAATTGATTTGCTATGGACAAAACCCTATATTTAATAATTAAATATAATTTTTGTTAATCAGTGAATCAATCAACATAAAGTAATATGTTCTGTCTTGAAGTCTATTAAATACCTTCTAAAACAGTTACATCTTGATTTACCGCTATATTAATATGGTTTGATTTTTTCAAGCTAGGATATTAATATTTTATCATTGGACAAATTTTGATTTTATCACAATTATTACTAAAATTTTAATTAAGGAAATCGACCATGTCTTGTTTAACAGCAACGCTTTTATTTATGTATTTATTTATTTTGTTTAGAAATTATCAATAAAAAAAAAGTAAATACAGAAATCGTTTTTAATTTAATCCTTTTATATCAAGGAAAAATCTATATAGTCTTTCCTAAAACCTAATTAAATAAAAATTTTTTAAAGATGTTTAAGGATTAAATATATAAATATATATAAATTAACAAAAAATACAACTTAAATTTCTTACCAAAGCTAATAAGGCCATTCTTACAAACATTCCATATCTCATTTGTCGGAAATAAGCTGCTCGTTCATCAAAATCTACTTCTGGATCAATTTCGTTTATTCTTGGAAGTGGATGCATTATAATCATTTGGAATTTACATTTTCTTAACGTAGAATTATTTATCACATAAGCATCTTTGATTTTTTCATATTCTGCAGCATCCGAAAATCGCTCACGCTGTATTCTTGTCACATAAAGTACATCTGTATCGGCAATTATATCATCCAAATCTGTATATTCGTTTTGTTGTATATTGCTAATTTTACGTATTTCATTTTTGATTTGAGTTGGCATACATAATGAATTTGGACTAACATAATTAAGTTTAACATGATATTGTGCCAATATTCGAACTAAACTATGTACTGTACGTCCGTTCTTTAAGTCACCAACTAAAGTTATTGTCAACCCATTTACAGTGCCTAATTCTTCACGTATTGTATAAACGTCGAGGAATGCCTTGATAGTTTATATGTATAAATAAATAAATAAATAAATAAATATTAAAAAAAATAGTATCAAGAAAAAAGAAAATATATTTACTGACTTGTGTAGGATGCTCGCCAGTACCATCACCAGCATTTATAATTGGGACTTGAGAATATTTTGCTGCAGTTTTAGCGCTTCCTGGTTCTGGATGTCGTAAAATTATGATGTATGTATAGCAGCAAAGCAATTTTTTATTGATGTTGGTGCATATGGTGATTTGTCTTTTTTGTTTAACACTTGAAAAATGAATCAATTCTTCTTGTAACTGATTTATAACAACAATTTCACTAATGTCATAATTGTATCTCATTTTTATTCTAACATCTGTCAGAACTTTCAACCAGAATCTTGTATTGTGAGTAGTATTCTTAACTTCACCATAATTTATCATGTCTTCAATTTCTTTGTTCATAGGTATATATACATTATTATTTGACTATAAAAAAAAAAATAGAAAATTTTAAAATATATTATAGGAATATATTGAAAGAATCCACTCTATCAAAAAGACCTCAGTTTCTTCAAGAGAATTATTATTATTTGTGGTTTCAATTTCAGAATTAATCGATTTGACATTTGTAATTGTTTCTTCAAGAGGATCATTCATAATGTCAATTTCATTGGAAATCAATATTGTACAATTAGTGCCTATATAGTATTACAGTATTACCATTACAAAAACAATAACCCACTATTCTTATCAGAAAACAGTGGCCCATAGATTTCCTTTGCTGTTGTAAATATTTTTCATAAAAATGGGCATTTAAAAAAGCAAGAAATTTTTTTTAGAAATAAGCTTTTAAAAACTATAAGGATCTACATAATGCATTATATAGAAGCGAGGGATAACTCTCTTAACCCCCACATTCGGAGTGGATAAATTTGGCGTTAACCCCCACTTTGCGAGGGATAACTACTATTTATTTCCTGATTAATTGTTCAGCTAGCTTTTAATTATTAATCAGAGATTTTTTACTACGTTTCTTGGAGGGAATGGCAGTTGCATAAATTTTTATTTCTCTTATAATAGAAATATATTGGGCTATGTGTCATTAAAGGATTATGAATTAGTGTCTGTGTAGAGCCTAGAGAAATACATACAGAGGTAAAAAGTAAATTCAAAAATTTTATAATAGCTTTAAGCAAATTTTTACTAAGATGAGACTAAGGTCCACATGAGCCAGCTCACAAGCTGAATAAGTTATTTGGCTTGCAAGCCAGCTCATGAGGAGTTCTCAAAAATTTATCCATGACTAAGCAAACTAAAAATGTGACCTATTTATGAAATTTTGCATTAACTTTTTCAATAATATCATTCCAACCAAAATATTCAATATTCATTATAATGCCTCTTTCCATCTCCTAACAGTTTGAGAATAGTACCATCAATTGAAATATGTTAGATGGTAGACGTTGTGTTAATATTATATTTTTCCTTAGCTAAATCACCAAAAATATTGATATCAATAGGAATGCATACAACACATCTAAGGAAATATAGGATATATCATTAATGGTTCCATCATAATTTACTTTTTTTAAAGATTGGCATGTATTTGTTTTATTATTATCTAAAATAAGACGTGAGATTGAAGTATAATCATTATTATTGTTTATTTCATACTTGGAGTAAGTCATCATCATCCCATGTTATCATATACATCAGAATCAAATTCCTCTTCCAAACTTTCTGTATATTCAATTTGAGCAGTCTTGTAAAAAATGAAAATTGTTCTTTGCTTTACGTCCAGTGCCCTTTGTGTGATGATTTAAGTAATCCTTATCCCAGCATCTATTAAGCTCAATTGTTTTACCATAGATGTAAACAACTTTCCTGACATGGGCACAATATGGGTATTTAAAGGTTGCATTTTACAATATTTCCATGAGGACATGGTAAAAATGTGATACTGAACCTTCAAATTTAAGATTTAAGTATTTTTATCTAATATAGTAATAATTGATCCAAGTTCACTTACTTGAGAACTAAGATATGACCTTCAAAAATTCTACAGTGTGGTCATCTATACTCAAAAGTTAAAAAATTTGAAATATTATGTGATCCATATGTTGGATTTTGTCACAATATTTTTTTTTCATGGATTTTTTGAATCTGAGAGTTATGCTCAAAAATGTCAAAAATGCAATAATAATTTTCATGTTGCAATATTTTGAATTGCATGATCAAATTTGGTAATGATTTTCTTTTGATATAATATGTTCGTTAACTTTTTTAAGAACTTTTATTACAAATCAATATGTGATGTAAAAAATATTTTATGAAAAAAATTGTTACACGAAATTTTCTTAGTCTCAATTTCTTAAGAGCATAACAAAAATTGGAATCTTCAAAATGCTATGGCTCAACCAATTTTCAGTTTAAGAAAAAACCAGCTGATAAGTCTTGAAGCTTGAGTCATGAGCAATAAAACTTATTGGTTAACTTTATTAAAATGATATAAAAACTTTTTGTTTTAGTATTTTGAAGCTGACCAGTTGTTACTATAAGCAATTAATTAATTATAGATGATCTGCACTGTAAACTCATTTTCTAATCATGACTATAATTATCCCAGCTAAGCAAAACTCATATGTTACCATATATATTGCTCTGAGTCCTGTGTGTATGGTAAAAATAAAAATAAAACATCAGGAAATTTCCCTGCCGCAATATTGCGTCCATAAATTTTAATATGTAAAGTTGTAATATTTGCATAAAAAATTATGTAATATTTACACTCAATGTAATAATTGCATAATTTTTGTATGCTTATTTGCATAATATTACAGGCCTGCCGTAAACTTACGTAAATAGTGTAATAGTTACGTAAATCCGCATCAGAAAAAATTTCCTGATGAAGGTCTGCATGGCCAAACAACTTAGTATCAAAGTATAAATATCTCAGACACACATTCATACAAATGTTTACTAACCATAGAACAGGAACATGATTAACCACAATATTTAGGGTCTTCAGATATTCTTTATAACTAATTTTATTAGCTTCCAAGGAAGAAAGTAGAACTCCATTACTGGGTAAAACACACTAGCCAAAAAAGTTTGCCAATGAAAATCATACATTACAGCATCACATGTGTCTTGATCATTACCCAAAAATTTTTGTCCTTATTAATAATTCAATCAAGTCTTCATTTGTATGAAAGAAGGATCATAAGAAATCTCCAAGAAGATAAATCTATATCCTATTATTTTCACAACTTCTACATTTAGTTGGCTGTGATAATTTGTTAACCAATGTTTTTCTATATCTTCAGTATTAAATTTATGATGTCACTGACTTAAGGTTGCTTGCTGAGACCTCTTAGTGACTTCAAAACTCTGTCAAAACTCCAATGAACAATTAATATATACTTTGTCAAAACTCTGATGATTGACAAAACCCCCCAAATGCAAAACTCTGCCAAAACTCTAATAAACAATTAATGTGTAAACTGTCAAAACTTTGTTGATTGATTTTGGAGGAGTTTCGCCCACAACTACATCATGAGCATATGTGTTTTCATTAATAGCTGAGCTCTTTTTTTTATATGATATATTTGGATACAATTTAAGCATTATTGTATTTATTTTCTGTAACTAGGACTTGCATTGGTTGATATAAGAAATAAAGATTTATTTCCATTGACTTATCATTAGTTATTATAATTCCTTCATATTCTTCTGAGCAGATGTGAGGTGTATTTCTGTTAGCACATTACATTTTTTCTAGTTGCTGTATAGTTGGCTTGGTCTAAAGACCTCCTAAATTTTGGGCAAATTTTAAAAGTATAGAAGTCACTTTCTGTCCTACCT